CTCTTGTTTTCAAGTATGTCCTGGGTCCACAAAACATTGCATTGATACAATAGGGAACAATAAAATACAAAAACAATATTAATACACAATTTATACAAATTTAACATAGAAGAGGTAGGACATATATAATCAACCATGACACGTGCGTTCTGTTTTGAGATATGTAGAGAGGGATCTCTTAAAGGACTTTAGGCTTGGGGAAGATTTGAAAGTGTGTGGGATGTCGTTCCATAATTGCAGTGCTCTGTAGGAAAAGGAGGATCGAGTCGCTTTCTTTTTGTATTGAGGTAGACTAAATAAAGTGCTAGTACTGGACCGGACGTTATAGGAGGTGGGAACAGCCGGGGAGAGCATTCTGCTCAGGTAGGGTGGGAGCTTCCCATAAAAGCTTTTAAACATAAAGCTGTAAAGATGAAGGGTGCATCTGGATTCCAGCGACAACCAGTTTAGTTCTTTTACTTACATTGTAGCACAAATTGGCAGAACGAGTTAGACAATGTATTGAGTTTATTAAGGTGGGTTTGCGGTGCAGGTGCATATACTACATACCCATAATCAATGATTGGTATCAGCATTTGCTGTACAATCTTTTCCTTTACTGTAGGGCTTAGGCAGGATTTGTTTCTGTACAGGGCACCTAGTTTTGGATAAAGGTTAGATGCACGTTTTTCTATGTGGAGGCCAAAAGATAGATTGTGGATTTCTACCTGTGTAAACTGGTCTTGGAGCACAGCCTCAAGCTGCAGTAGATTGTATTTGCTTGCATAGATTACTGTGTCATCTGCGTATATGTGTACATTTGAGGAATTGCAGACATTAGGCAGATCATTTATAAATAATGTTAATAGTAGGGAGCCGAGAGTGGAATCTTGGGGAACACCACACGTGACTGGGAGAGGGAGGGAGTCGTTGTCAGAAATGGATACATATTGTAAGATTGTAATAAACAATTTGAGATTTATGCATGTTAATTTCATAACAACTATAAAAAAAAGAAAGAAAAACAGCTATATTCTTTGATGCAGGCCAGTGCCATAGGGATAGTTTCTGGGTAAGTAGGCGTGGAGAGTTGTTTTTTGCTCCTGTTTTCCTAAAATAATAACATGAATGTTAGATGATTGTCTAAAATATTCAGCTAAAAGTTCTATTGAGAGCACATACAACAGAGGTGCCAATGGATATCCCTGTCATGTGCCATTCACAATGTCGAACCAATGGGAATTCAACCCATTAGCGATAAATTTGGCTTTCGGGGAAGAGTAACGTGACATAACTAAAAATCTCCAATTTACCCTGTCAAATGCCTTTTTGGCGTCAACAGAGGAAAAAAAACTGTAGGAACGTGTTTTTTATATTATGTTAGATATTTTCCATATATTTTCACCATCCGATCTTGCTGTTATAAATCCTGACTAATCTGTATGGATTAAATCTGTAATGACCAACGCCAATCTGTTGGCTAATGTTGGGTCTTGGACAGGTGGGGCCCACGAGACAAGTGTTATGGGATCAGGAGGTGGTATATCTCTGTTGGGAAGTGGATTTTCTTTAGCAGGTTTGATCAGAGAAACATGGAATGAAGGATGTATTCGATATTGACGTGGCAGATCTAATCATACTACGACAGGAGAGACAAGTTTAAAAATTCGAAAGGGACCAATGAACTTGGGTCCCAATTTCTTGGTAGGATAGGATAGTTTCAAGCACTCTGTATATAACCAAACCAGTTGGCCCACTTGATAAGACGGTGGAGATTGACTTTTGAGATCGGCATATTGTTTATAGGTTTCTTGGCTCTCTTGTAGTGTCGATTGGGCCCGTAGAAAACCTTGAGCTAGTTGCTGTAAATGGACCGTGACATCTGGAACAGGTGTAAGTAGGGGACTTCCTAGAAGGGTATTGGGATGAAAACCCTAATTTCACATAAAAGGAGATTCCTCAGTGGAATTATGTTAATTGAGTTATAGGTAAATTCAGCTGTAGATAATAACTATTTCCAATCAGATTGTAGATGGGTACAGTAACAATGGAGGTATGTTTTCAGGGTTTGGTTTGTGATAGGGTATTTTGCCCCTTTTAGTAGGTATTGCCATTCTTCAAATGCTTTTTTAATGGCTAGTAACTCCTTGTCTCCAACAATAATAAGATTCTGTATCCTTTAACTTGTGGGAATAGAAGACTAGAGGGTGTAATAATCCTGTTTTAATATCTCTCTGTGATAGTACTGCTCCTGTGCTGAGTCAGATGGGTTTCTCAGGGTCTGGTAGGTGAAGGATGGGTGCCTTGGTAAATAATTGTTTTAGATTATCAAACCCCTTTTGAGCCAGGGGAGACCAACTCAATTTTACTTATTTCTTGGTAAGGTGTGTTAGGGGTTGAGTTACTTTTGAAAAGTTACGGATGATTTTAGATAAACTGAGTATTTTATAAATTGTTGTATTTGTTTCTTATTCTGTGGTGTGGGCCATTTCAGTATAGCATTTACTTTTCTGGGATCCATTTCCACTTTACCTGGTTTAATGATGAAACCCAAAAATTCGGTTTTGGTTTCGAAGATGCATTTTTCTATTTTTGCATGCAAATTAAATTTCCTTAAACGCAATTTACCTCAGTTATATGTAGATGAGTGTGGAGATCTGGGGAGAAGGCCATTATGTCATCTAAGTAGACAACAATTGAGCAAGAAGGTCATGGAACACAGCATTGAGAAAATGCTGGAAAGAGGCAGGGGCATTACAGAGTCCGTAGGGCATAATCAGTGTAACGGATCGTCTGGCACCCCGACTGGGTACCTCCGTTGAAAGATGCTCCTAGCGCTTCCTGAGGACTCCAAGCACTCTGGCAGACACCACAATCACCGAACCGGAGAAACAAATAAATTCTCCCAAGCATATGAATGCTGTAGACAGTTGAATAGGAACCATACGAATAGGTTTACTCTCCTAGCAGTCAAACTGGAACAGCATACAATAAATCCATCCCCCAATAATGAGACGACACTTCACTTTGAGGGTTAAAACAGGAACTCCCTGTACTGTCACATACAGTCTCTTTTATTCCCAATCCACAAACATAGTACAGCCCACAGGGCGTTACAAAACAACCAATCACATCACAGTTACATCCCACATATTCCCTCCCCTTATCCTGAGAGGAAACTCAATTATACATACAGTTAAAACATACTTTCTACCCAACTTTCATAACTCCAAAACCATACATCACATTCACATAAAATTACATATTCACAATCAATCCATTCAGGGGAACAACATATTCAAAATGGCACAAATCAGACAAGGGGTTCAAAAGTTAGTAAAAAGTCCTTTGGGCTAAATGAAGCATGGCTTTCTGGCCCAAACCAGTTTCAGAGTCTTCTATCCTGAGATAAGTAATTCAATTATCTCCCAGGACAGACACAAGACTCCATTAAGCACATGGTTGCAAAAAGACACAAAACACTTTAAAATACATAAAGTCACATTTACACATAACACACAGACATTTCACATATCCCCAGATAGTTGGGATCTGAGTGCACATTATTAGATGAATGGCACTCAGATCACACAAATAAGCCTTTCTGCAGGGGAAATAAACGGTTTAACCTGCAGGGCCATAGTCCAAAGGGAGCAGGCGAGCAACCAGGCTTCTCCAGTTCACAGTGGCGAGGTTGGTTTCGCCACAATCAGATATTCAAAATGACCGTACCGGGTACGAAATGCCATTTTCCTTTCATCACCCTCTCTGAATCAGAGCAGGTTATAGGCACCTCTTAGATCAAGTTTAGAATATATACAAGCAGATTGGAGGCATTCCATAAGTTCAGAAATAAGGGGTAGTGGATATTTGTTTTTTATAATGTTGTGATTGAGTTCTCTGTTCACAAGGTCTTAAACTGCCATCTTTTTTTCCCCACAAAGAATATTCCAGCACCTGCAAAAGAAGTAGAAGGATGGATAAATCCTTTCTTTAGGTTTTCTTGTATGTATTGCTTTATCCTTTTCTGATAAGGGGTATATTCTTCCAAAAGGAATAGGTGCTCCTTGCAGGAAGTTGATTGGGCAATCATACAGCCGACTGTAATGTTTCTACTCCCTTTTTGTCAAACACATCTTGATACTCCTTATAAACTTTAGGGAGGAGTACCTCTTGCTCCTTTTTCATGTTGAACTCCAATATAGAATGAAAAAAACCTTTTTGGTGGTGTTTAACCCCTTAAGGACACATGACATGTATGACATGTCATTATTCCCTTTTATTCCAGAAGTTTGGTCCTTAAGGGGTTAAACAAAACTGAGAGATATGGGGTGAAGAGAATGATACGGTACCAGTAGACCAGGAAATAGTAGGATCATGTTGCTGTAGCCAAGGGATACCCAAAATAACAGGGAACAATGGGAAAGAAACCAAAACAAAAGTCAAAGTCTCAGAATGTTTCCCTATTCACACTAATATTGGTTTAGTTTGTTTGGTAAGTGGACCAGATTGCAAGAAGTACGCATCCACAAGTTGTATACGTAATGGCAATGGCGTACATACCGCGGTGCAGGGTCGCAGCTGCGACCGGGCCCGCCACTCCAGGGGGCTCGGCCGCCCTGTGGACCCAAGCGAACAGGTACCAGCTGCCACGTTTTGCGGCCCCGGCCCACGCAGCAAACCGCTGGGACCATCTTTCAAGGGGTCCATCGGGTGGCCCATGCTGTCAGGGCCACCTGATGGAGATGGATTTTCAGGGGCCTGGTCAGCGCTGGGCGCTTTAACAGTGTGACTGGGCCCCCTGTGATGACATCACTGCTGGGAGGAAGTGACTCCCCGGTCACTACTCACAGCTATCAGAGCCCGCGCAGGAGGAAGGAGGAGGGAGTGTGTGTGTCTGTATCTGTGTGTGTTTGTGTCTCTGTATATGTGTGTCTCTGTATGTGTGTGTGTGTCTGTGTCTCTGTATGTATGCATGTGTGTCTCTGTATGTGTGTGTCTGTGTCTCTGTATGTGTGTCTGTCTTTGTGTATGTATGTGTGTGTGTGTATGTGTCTGTGTGTGTGTCTGTCTGTGTGTATGTATGTGTGTGTCTGTCTGTCTGTGTGTATGTATGTGTGTGTCTGTATGTATGTATGTGTCTGTCGAGGGGGGTATGTGTTTGTGTGTGTGTCTGTGTGTATGTGTTTGTGTGTGTGTCTGTATGTATGTGTCGGGGGTGGCCCACTGATCGGAGGAGAGAGGAGAGGAGAGGGGGGGGCCCTTGGATCAGTTTCACACCGGGGCCCCATGGATTGTGTGTACGCCACTGCATGGAGTGCTTTTATTATGTACAGAAATGAAAAGTGAATGTGCAAGGTCAAGGTCCAAGAAACAGCCACTTGCCCCCCGGAATCAATCAGGGCTTGACATGCGTAGCTGTTTTCATTTCAATGTAAGGAAAGGGAAACAGATAAGGGTGGAGTAGCTGTGACTGTGGAAATTATAGTAGTCAGTTTGATCCGCTTACCAGTGGATTTTTCAGGACAGGTTCTCACTGTGTGATGACGACACCCACAATAGAGACACAGGTTTTCTCTTCTTCTTCTTTGTAGTTTGCCTAAGGGTAACTTTCTTTGTACAAGACCTACTTGCATAAGTTCTTCTGTTGAGGGTGTGGGAACCATGGCTGAAGAAGTAGGGGAGTAGTTTGAAAAGATGTTTTTTGAAGCTGAAGCACAAGTTGCTGCCTTTTCTTGTCTTTGCTCTCTGAGACGTCAATCTAGCTGAATAGCCTGTTACATAAGGGCTTTCAAAGTGTCTGGTATACCAAAATGAGCAAAGTCGTCTTTTAATGATTCAGAAACAAACCTAGGTGAAATTGATTAATTACATCAACCTCGTTCCAACGTGTGTCTGGCATAGCGACTGAATTATTTTATGTAGTCCTCGACAGGTCTGCGGCCTTGACGTAATGCTCTAATAGCAGTCTGAGCAGTATCCTGTCTATTAGGATCATCATACGTAGCAATCATGGCATTAACAAAAGCATTCCATGTTTGAACGCTGGGGTCATTAATATGCATTCTTGGTGTGGACCTGAGAGAAGGGTAATAATGGTGCACACTTTGACAGCACCACAATAATAAGTCCTAGGTTTTAAATAAAATAATAGTTCATACGTCATGATGAAGGAATGATATTTAGATCTGTCATCTGAGAAGCGTTCTGGCAAAGACACTTGTGGCTCTGGTGCCACGGTGTGATCTTCTGGCAGAGTTTTCAGGTGGGATGCAGGCGATCCAGTAACAGGGGAAGAAGCACATGTATGTAATTCTTGTGCAGCTTGTGTTAGCGTGGATACTTGACTGGGCCCCTAGGGCGTTTAGCGTTTCGGCTAACTCTGCTGACTCCATCTTAGGTTCAGTTATTCTGTTGGGTCTTTGACAGGTGGCACCCAGGAGGCAGGAGTGAGCCAAAAGCGAGGTACCAGTTGACGATAAGACAGTCTCGTGGTCAGGGTAAGCCAAGGTCAAGGGCAGGCAGTGCAGGTTCAGGGACGGTATAACAGGCAGATAGGCTAAGGGTTGGATAAGACAGATTCACAGAAGTAAATATACCGAAGATCACAGTATAACGGAGTACTGAGGTAGAGGTTAGCTGGGTTTATATAGACAGATGGATGCTAGACATCTGTCCTTGTGGTCGTACCCGTCGGAGTCCTGGGCGTGCAGCGAGGAGGGACCGCCGCAGGAGTGAACAGAGATGCAGCGGGGGATCCCCAGGTAAGCGTGGTCGTGACAGCTAAGAACATTTTTTTCATATCCAAATTTATAAGTGAGATCGGGTGAAAGTTACTTCTAAAATTTGGATCTTTCCCGGATTTCAGAATGGGTGAAATTGTTACAGCTACCAGGTTTGAAGAATTTTTTTTTACAGATATAACAGGTTCAAAAGTTTTTGTATACCCATCACGACCAGGAACTTTCCCATTTTTAAGATTAAGAATTACAGGTTATAGATTTATTTAAACTATGGAGTTTTTATGGTTTTTATTGGGTAGAATAATTTTTTTTTTTTTTAAATGACAAGTTCTATTTCGGAGAATTCATCTGCAGGAAGGTTGTGTAGAGAGGTATATTAAAACTGTTCGGTTCGGCTCAGTTTGGAAATTCAGGTAAGTAAAAAAAATGTGTCTGCTTCAGCAATGAGGACCAATGGCATTCGGTTTGGTTCAGCACTTCAGGACTTCGGCGCTTCGGAACTTTCCACTTCGGACATTCGTAAGCATCCGAATGGCATGAAATTTGTACAAATGTACTTTCGGAACGAAATGAATTGCACGTGTCTACTTTATATATCCTATATAATAATTGGCTAAGTATGTTTGTCTGATGCAGTCATGTGCAGTAGGGACCGCGCGAGACTGCATGAGATAAACATCCCATGCCAGGCGGCGAGGGAGAAAAGTACTTACTGTACTCTTGCAGCACAGCTCCTGCGCAAGTCCTTCAAGGTCCGCTGGCAGCCACGATGTGACGCGTACAGGATATGACGTCATTGCACAAAACGAATTAGCAAATTTTTCATCATTCACTTAATTTTTCCTCCCTCTCTCTTGTTTTGCCACTTTTTAGAAATCCGAATCACTTCAGCATTTCGGAACTTCGGCGCTTCAGGACTTCGGCACTTTGGACATTCGTAAGCATCGCAATGTCCGAATGGCATGAAATTCGTACAAATGTACATTCGTAATGAAACGAATCGCACATGTCTAATATCAGGTGGTATAAAATTGTAATGTTGAATCATCTTATATATATTCGTGGTATCCTTAAACTGGTACGAAAATAGGTAAGTGTATTGTAGCCTCAATATCAACAGCCTGCAACTTGAGATAAAAATAAGGTTAAACTAAAAATAAAATTCTTAATAATGTTTGTGGATTTTTATATTTTATCTCTAATATCATATAGTTTGTGTTTAGTATTTCAAAGTGTTTTAAGTGAAAGTGCACTTTAATACAATACTTCAATACTCATTTATTCTATTTAAGAAAGTGATTAGTGCACTTAAAACTCACTTTGACTCTCTTAATGTTATCGGTATTCTAGAAAAGTTAATCTCTTGTTATTCCCATATCTAGTCTAGTTTTTATTCAAGAATGCCAAGATCTTTAATTTTTGAAAGGTCCTCCATTGAGTCTTTCATTGGGAATATTTTCCTGTTATGAAAAAGTTTCTATCGAGACGGGATTTGTAAGACGCGATTTGTTGAGCTTTTTCCCAGGTATATTTTAGGTTCATCAACCGTCGGCACTCCCTGTGATGTAAACGTAGTTGGGAGAACAACTGGATGAAAATCATAATTTAAGAAAAATGGGCTGAGTTTAGTAGCATCGGATACTAAGCTGTTATGTGCAAACTCGGCCCATGGAAGCAAACCAACCCAGTCATCTTGATGTGCAGATCCAAAACATCTTAGATATTGCTTGATTTTCTGATTAGTGCGTTCTGCTGCCTCCTTGGATTGGGGATGATGAGCCAATGAAAAACTGAGATTTATACCAAAATGTTTACAAAAAGCTTTCCAAAACTTAGAGATGAACTACGAGCCTCTGTCTGATATAATTTCCCCAGGAATACCATAGATCCAGCATATTCCCCTGGCAAGGATCTTTGCCAATTCTGGTGAAGTTGGTAACTTTGCCAGAGGTATGAAATGTGCCATTTTGGTGAACCTGTCAATGACAGTCAAGATAAGATAAGTTTTCTTGTTGGAAGTAGGTAATTCAACGATGAAGTCCATTGCTATACTAACCCAGGGTTTGTTAGGTATATCCAAGGGTTGAAGCAGACCACATGGGAGAGTATGGGACAGTTTAGTTTTTGTACAAACATTACAAGCCATAACATATTCCTTACTATCCTTTAGCAATGAAGGCCACTAGAATTCTTTGGCAATTAAGGTGAATGTTTTACGAATACCTGGATGACCTGCGATTTTACTGTTATGAAAATGGATGAGTATCTCTTTCTGGTGTTCAGGAGGAACATATAGACATCCTTCTGGGATAACCCCAGGTGCCTGTGATTGTTTAGCAACAATTTCCATAACCAGGGGTGACTATTTTGATACTAGTATTACCTATGATGTGTTGTCTAGGTACCACAGAAGATACTTCAAATGAAGAACTGACATGTGGTTCATATTGACGAGACAACGCATCAGCTTTAGAATTCTTCAAACCTGGTTAACAGAAAGTTAAATCTTGTTAAAAAAAGAGACCACCAGGCTTGCCTAGCAGAAAGACATTTGGCCTCTCCAATATAGGAGAGGTTTTTATAATCTGTTAGGATAGTCACTGGAAGTAAAGTACCTTCTAGTAGGTGTCGCCATTCCTTTAAGGCTAGGATTATAGCAAGGAGTTCTCTGTCTCCAATGACATAACGTTTTTCTGTATCCAATAATTTCCTAGAATAAAACCCGCAAGTGTGTAGTGGTAGGTCAGGACTTTGTCGTTGGGACACAACAGCTCCTAAACCAGTCTCCGAAGCATCTACCTCTAACAGAAAAGGTAGACTAGGACTAGGATGTACTAAAACCAGAACAGATGCAAACTATGTTTTAAGTGTCTCAAAAGTGTGTAACGCATTAGAATTCCATATTTTCTGATTCATACCTTTTTTTGTCGTATTCGTTATTGGAGCAAGTATAGACGAAAAACCTTTTATGAAGCGTCTCTAATAATTTGCGAATCCTATAAATCTTTAAAATAGCCTTTAACCCATTAGGTAGTGGCAATTTGAGTGTGGAGTCCAATTTCTTGGGATCCACAGCAAACCCTTGTCCTGAAATCAAATACCCAAGAAAGCTGATTTGGTTTTGATCAAAAAGGCATTTTTCAAGTTTACAGTACAATCTGTGTTGTTACAATTTAGTTAATACCTTTTTAACTTGTCTGTAATGCGTCTCTTTGTAATTCGAATAAATCAGGATACCATCTAGATATACTATTACACACTCTTGCTGGAATTCCCTTAATACGTCATTGATAAGGTCTTTGAAGACAGCCTGAGCATTACATAACCCAAAAGGCATAACAGTGTATTCATAATGCCCATAATGCGTGTTAAAGGCTGTCTTCCACTCGTCACCCTCACAAATCCTGACAAGATTATACGCCCCTCTAAGAGCTAGTTTAGTAAATATTTTGGCTTCTTTAAGTCTATCAAAGAACTCTGTAAT